CCCCATACGCTCGCAATCCCCACTTCAAGGTCTGCACCAGTCGCCCAGTCAGCCCATCGCTCTGTGGGTGGTACCGAGAAGTGCCCCTATGGGTGATCCCTATCTCCTCCAGCAGCTTCTTGAACTCCCCTTGAAACTCTGTCCCTTGATCCGTGAGGACCTCTGCACATGCCCCGAACCTGCATACCACTTATTCCTTGAACGCCGCTGCCACGTGCCTTGAGCTCTTGCTCGGGATAGCCCTCACCTCCAGCCACTTGCTCACATGTTCGACCATGAGCACTATGTATTGCTTCCCTCCCCGGCTCAGCTGCAGCTCCCCCACCAGATCTAAGGACCACCTGAAACCTAGGCCTCGGATGGGCAACGACTGCAACTCTGCCTTGGCTTGGGTGAGGTTTGCCCTGCTCCTTTGGCACGCCTCACAGCCCTCCACCCACCCCTTTACTTGCCTCCGCATCCCCTCCCACCACCATCCTGTCTTCAGCAGCTGCACAGTCCTCTCGTGCCCAAAGTGCCCTAGCTTTGTGTGTACCTCCTTAATCACTGCTTCTCTCTCGCTTGGGGCCGGCACCAGCTTCCACCCATCCTCTGTCTCCACCTGCAGCTGCTGCTGGTACCATCTATAATGCTGGCCCCTTGCCCTTACTCGTGCCGTCAGCTCTTCGTCCTCTTCGGTCTCTCCCTTCACCCACCGCATGGCCGGTACATCCTCCCAAATGTCTGCTGGCCCCTTCCCTTCCTTGGCCCCATTCTGCTCCACTAATCTTGCCAGCAGTGTCAAGGTCACAGTGGGCTCTGGCGGTGGGGGGTTCCGAGAGAGGCCATCCACGTGTTGCAATGTCTTTCCTAGCCTATGCTTGATCTTGAAGTCATACTCCTGCAGCTTCATTGCCCATCTTGCATTCCTGCCCGTCAGCCCCGGGGTTGTCATCAGCCAAGTCAGGGGCTGGTGGTCTGTCACTAAGGTGAATTCCCTCCCCTGCAGGTACACCCTAAAATGCCCCACTGCCCACACGACCGCCAACCCTTCTCCTATGTAGGAGCTGTATTGTGCCTCCGCCGAGTTGCAGCTCCTGCTCGCATATGCCACTACCTTCTCCTCTCCTTCCACCTCCTGGCAGAGTATCCCCCCCATCCCTTGGCTGCTCCAGTCGGTGTAGAGCGTAAACGGGTGATCAGCGGCGGGCAGCTTGAGTACCGTTGCGGTCTTCACTGCTGCCATCAGGTCCTGCAGTGCTCCCTTCTATGCTTCTCCCCACTCCCACGCCTTGTCCTCCCGCAACAGCCCATTCAGCACCGCCGCTCTCTTGCTGAAGTTGGGCACAAACCGCCTGTAGTAGCTCAGGAAGCCCAGCACTGCTCTCAGCCCTGACTTGTCCTTCGGCTCCCTCAGTCTGTCCAGGACTTCTACCTTGGCCTGTTGGATCCCTATCTGTCCCCCTTTCACCTCGTACCCCAGATACTGCACTGTCTGTTCCCCCCATCTGCACTTCTTCGGGTGGCAGGTGAGTCCTGCTGCTTCAATTGCTTCAATTCCACATCCTGCAGGTGTTGTTGCTCGGTTGTGCTGAAGATTACCACATAATCAATGTAGCAGGCCGCGCACTCCACTCCCCGCAACACACTGTCCATGACCCTCTGGAACACTGCTGATGCGTTCCGCAGTCCAAATGGAACGTACAACCACTCATACAGCCCGTCTGGCCCATGAAAGGTCGTCTTCTTGATGTCCTCCTCCCGGATCTTGATCTGGTTGAACCCTTGCCACAGGTCCAGCATAGTGAAGAACACCCCCTCCGCTAACTTGTCAAAGATCTCTTCCGCCATCGGCATCGGGTACCTGTCTGCTACGGTGATTTTGTTAAGTGCCCTATAGTCCCCGCACATCCTCCTGCTCAACACTTCCCCTGTCAGGTCTCGCCTGGCTGCCACCACTGTTGGTGTGGCGTATTCGGATTCTGATCTCCTAATCAGTCCCGCTTCCAGCAGCTCCTTGATCTTCTCTTTACAGATTTCCTCGTCCCCGGGCGGCATCTCCCTTCTGCGGTGGAACACTGGTTCTGTGCTGCTCAGCTTCAGCTCCATCTCCTTCACTTTGCACCTCCCCAGTTCCTGCATGGTGAAAGCGAAACACTTCCTGTGCCTGGCCAGCAGCTCCTGCATGGCATCCTTTCCCTCCTTGCTCATCGCTTCCCCCACCACCCAGCTCTCCTCCTCCTTCTCCTGGCAGCTCCATGCTCCCCGTGTCTCTGCCTCCGTTCCTTCCTTCCCTTCTTCCTGCCCCCAGCTAACGACCGTCTCTCGCCACATCCGCTGAATCAGCCACCTCAGCACGTGGTCATCCATTGCATTCCCCAAAGCCCTCCTCCTGTCCGCCTCATTCGCCCCAGGTGCTGCTGTTGCATCTTCTCCGTACCCCATAGCCAACTCCCTCTCGAGTGCCGTGGGCTCCTCCCATCTCTGTCTCCCGTGATCATACACCATCCCTGGTCCGGGCTTCCCTACTTCCCACTTGTACCCTGCTGCCCCCACATATACCACCAGAGTGGGCAGTGCTCGCCTCTCCTGCCCCACTTGGTTGCATTGCTCATGCCTGCTGTAGCTCTTGTGACACACCGGCGCTGGGGTACGCCCTGGCGCCAGGATGTCCTGCACCTTCCTCTCTACTGCTCGCCTCACCCCATCCACCCCTGCTTGCAGATTCACGGCAGGGACCACATTCTGCTAGTACATTCTGAGCCTGTGCGCATAAGACCCCATTCTGGCCGCATCACAGCTCACCCCTTCTCCCAGCTGCCCCCTGATTCTGTCTCTCACCAGTCGGATCGGCTCTCTGCTGTCTCCCTCCAGGTCCAGGTTTTCTAGCAAGTATGCCACCCTACCCTGCCTCTCCTGCAGCCACTCCAGGATTCGGAACAGCTCCTCCATCAGCCTTGTCCTGTGATCTTCCTCTCCCTTCCCCTTGCCTGCCCACGACACCCCTTGGCATTCCCACCCTGCCACCAGCAGATCCACCTGCCCCCAGCTCGCCACCTCCGCCTCACTTATCTCCTTCACATCGTGGATCGTCCCTCCCATGGCTTCTCTAATCACCCTCTCACTCAGAAATTCTGGAAACTCCGCTTGTAGCTTCCAAGCATGATGCTCCGCCATCCTCCTGACCCCGGGTTCCTTCTCCACATACGTCCACCTCCTCACTGCTATCCCGTTCCTCACCACTGGACAGGCCTGCCCCTATCCCCCCCAAACAGCTCCACCAGGTGGATGGGCTGTTGCCAGTCACTCTGCTGCTGTGGCTTGTCCATCCCCTTCATTCTGGGTGCTCCTCCCAACCCTGGTGTCCCTCTCTGCTCCCCAGGCAGCAGCCCCCCCACGTCCTGGTACGCCCTCTCCGGCTCCACTTTCACAAACCGCACTGGCAGCTCTCCCAGCGGCCCCTCCTTTTTCCAGTACCTCGTCCTAAACTCGACCTTCTCCGTCCATGTGCATATTGTCATCCCTACCGCATACACCAGCTCGGTGCCTACTAGCACATCAAAGTCTTCCTACTCAGAAATCCCACACTTCATGCGGATTTTGGTCTCATGCCCCCCCCCCCGGCAGCAGCGTCACTTCTATGGGCGTTCGGGTGCATGGCATCCACTTCGGCTCCCCCCCTTCCGCCGTCATTACCAACATCCCCTTTGCCACATGCCTCTCTTGTGCCAGCAATTGTAGCCTTTCAGCCATCCCTCTGCCCAACATCACACTCTGCGCTCCCGTGTCTATGATGGCTGTCTTTACCTTCTCTCCCTCCACTTCCATGGCTCCCTTCTCCAGTAGTAGCACCGAGGTCTGGCACGCCAGCCTCTCTTGGGGATGGCGTGTGGGGGCTTACTCCAGGGCTGGCTCAGCTGGCTTCTCTCCCTTCACTTGTTCCTTCCTTCCCTGCCCCCGCCTGCCATCCTTGCCTCCGCTCCTCAGCCCCATCTCCTCCCTTCCTCTCCAAGCCATGAGGGCACACTGCACGTCCTGCTCCACCTCCTCCCCTTCCTCATCTCTGGCGTACATCCCTGCCTCTGCCTCCCCTCTCAGCCCGGTCGCCCTGAGCTGTGCCTGCAACCTACTAATCTGCCGCTGCAGCTCCTCCGGATGCCTCCTAATCCCCCCTTCTCTCTGGTAGCAATCCTTCGGCTCATGCCCCCGCTTCTTGCAGATTTCACACCTGGCTGCATCTGGGCACTCCCGCTTCCTGTGCCCTGGCTTCCCACACCCGTCATAGTTCTTGCAGTCCCTGCGCAGATGCCCTGGCTGCCCGCACCTATGACATGTCCTGGTGTCAGTCCCTGACTCCCCCCGTCCATCCGTCCTCCCTCCCCCTTCCGGTATTATTGCCGCCGCCCATGTTGGCCTCCGGCTTCTCTCCGCTGGCCTGGGGAGATAAGCCTCGTATTTCCTCTATGCGAGCTCCACCCTCTCTGCCAGATCGAACACCTCCTCCAGGCTTGCCTTCGCGCCCAGCTCATACACTCTCATCCTCAGCCCACCTCCTAAGGCCTCATCCAAGCCTCCCAGGAACTTGCTGATGAGCAGACTGTTATCCGTGCATCTCACATCCTCCGCCACATTAATCAATCTGTTGTAGTAGGTCAACAGTGACTCAGCCCGGCCCCTGCTAAATTCCTGGAATTCCCTTATACGCTCCGCCGTGTGGCCAGGGAATTGCCGCTGCAGCCGCTCCAAAAATGCCTCCGTGGGGTCTTTCCCGTACCTCCCTGCCCTCCACAGCAGTTCCTCCATCCTCATGCGGTACATCATCTCGGCCTCTCCCTCCAGCGTGTTTGGCAAGCTAAAAAAGAAGTCTATTGGGTCCATGTTGTGCCGGTCGTAGCGGTATCGCACATTCCCCACCTGCATCAGGTAGTTCTTGAGGGTAGGCCCCGCGCGTTGGTCGCCCGAGAACCTGGCGGGCACTTCCACTCGCGGGGTGCTGACGGCATCCACTCACCCCTCTCCCCATGATTCGCTGGCTCCCCCTGGCCGACCCCTCTCCGCTCCCCTCACCCTCGCCCTTTGCATGCCTTCTCTGGCTTCCCATGCCCGCTCCGCTCCGTGCACCAGGGTTCCGCCCTCCATTCTGCCCTCTTGGCAACTTCCTCCTGATTTGTGGCGCCCCTCCCTCAGCCCTCCCCACTCTTCCGCCCGTCCCCATTGTGGCGTCGGCGGCTCGCGCGCCTTTTGCCCCTCCCCCCTGCCCGTCTCGCGCAGCGGCCGCCTTTCTGGCGATGGTGACCAGGCGTCTTCCCTCCTGCTGCGCTGCTAGCGGCGTTCAGGTGAGTGCCCCTCCCCTCCGTACTCCTCCCTCCGCGCGTGGCGCCAGTCGGGCGAGCGGGTCCCGCCCTTGTCCCGCTGCGCTTGCTGACTCGGCCATCCCGGCAAGGGCATCGTGATGCTGCACTCCCCTTGCTGCTGACCGCGCCGCTCTTGTGACACACGCTCCGCCCTGTGCCTCCCTTTCTGGCGCCCTTGTGGCCTGGGTGAGCGCGGCTCATCCCTCCATTCGTCATCGCGCGCCTGCCGCCGTCCCGGCGAACGCCTGCCGCCGCCGTTCCCGCCTTCTTGGTCCTGTCGCCTGACATGCAGGTGGAACTCGCCTACGCGCCATTCTCTGTGGTGCTGACCCTTTTCCGGCGTGCGCGAACGCTTCGACCCTTCTTTACCGTGCGGTCTCGGCGCCTGTGCATCCCGAGCGCCCTCGTCTAGTGCCCCTCGCTCCTGCATTCTGGAGCCCTCCGCGCGCTGTCCCTCTCCACGGCTGCCGTCTCGACCACGCAATTCCTGCAGCGTGGTCCTTGACTCCTCGACCGGCGCCTGACTTGCTCCCGCATGCTCTTCCGCCGGCCCGGGTTCCGCCTCGCTTGTTCCCTCTGACTGCACTTCATTCCCATCTTCTTCATCCGCCTCCTCGACCGGCCGCCCTTGGTTCCTCTCAGTTCCTTCCGCGTCCCGCTCTTGTGTCACCTCCTGAGCTGCGTTCTCTTGCGAGCCCCCTTCGTGAGCGTCGCCGCTGCCGTTGCCTCCCCGTCCCCGTGGCCGTTCTTCGAATCCTCGCCAAAGGCCTCTCTCATCGCGGCGCTGTCCGCAATCTTCCGGCGAGTGAAACACCCCTGCGTTGCTATGGCTTCCGCCTTCCATGCCAGTCCCGCGGGCGCTCTCTTGTAGCGATGCGTTTCGATCCGTGCCTCCGGCGTGGCCGTCGACGCCTGCTCCAGCATCTTCTGCTCCTTCCCCTCAACGGTCCCTCGCAGGGGGGACCCGATCCGCGCGGAAGGCGGGTCGGCGCGGCGATCGTTCCCAGGACCGCCCGCGTTCCCGTGATGGCTCGCGTCGCGGGCGCTCCTCCTCACGTCGGCTGAACATCCTACCCCAGCGCAGCTCGTACTTGTCCATATTCACCTAAGCTGCAAGATGCCCCCTTTCTCGCTGTAATGAAAGCGCTATGTCCCTCACCCCGTAGGTTCCCTCTTAGTGCCGTGCTGCAGTGTGCTTAGAGCGTGAGACAACAACTTTCACTAGTTCGAGAGAATTACAGCGAGAAAGCATGGAGGGGTTGGCAGTGAGAGACCTTATCCAACCCCAAGCTGCACTTTTCCAATGTGCGGCGCGGGGTTGGGATTTACCAGGTTCCACATTTCGCCCTTCGATGCCTTCTCCCCCCTAATCCCAACCGCTCCTCTCCCATTTCCCCCCTTCTACACCCCTCCCTAACAGTAACTTCGCTACATGCTACACCTATTACTTATTCCTGTTTCATACGTTTATAACCATCTAGCCTTCCCATGGTTGCTGTATAAAGCCCACACTTTACCATCATTCTACTGTTATTGCATATGCATCAAGTGCATATGCGGTGACACTGCGTAGATCCCTGACACAAGATTGGCAAGGAAACGTCCGGTAAATTTATTGCTGCGTAGATCCCGGACACAGGAATGGCAAGGAAACGTCCGGTGAAGTTATTGCTGCATAGATCTATGACACAGGATTGGCAAGGAAACGTCCAATGAAGTTATTGCTGCGTAGATCCCTGACATAGGACTGACAAGGAAACGTCTAGAGAAGTTATTGCTGCGTAGATCCCTGACACAGGATTGGCAAGGAACCGTCCGGTGAAGTTATTGCTGCGTAGATCCGTGATTGGGGAATGGCAAGGAAACGTCCGGTGAAGTAATTGTTGCGTAGATCCCTGATACAGGATCGGCAAGGAAACGTCGCTCGTACCTCCATGATCCATGCGGCTGCATAGATCCCTGACAAAGGATTGGCAAGGAAACGTCTGGTGAAGTTAATGCTGCGTAGATCCCTAACACAGGATTAGCAAGGAAACGTCCGGTGAAGTTATTGCTGCATAGATCCCTGGCACAAGAATGGCAAGGATACGTCCGGTGAAGTTTTTGCTGCATAGATCCCTAGCAGAGGAATGGCAAGGATACGTCCGGTGAAGTTATTGCTGCGTAGATCTTAGACACAGGACTGGCAAGGAAACGTCCGGTAAAGTTATTGCTGCGTAGATCCCTGATACAGGATTGGCAAGGAAACGTCCAGTGAAGTTATTGCTGCATAAATCCCTGACACAGGATTGGCAAGGAAACGTCTGGTAAAGTTTTTGCTGCGTAGATCCCTGACACAGGAATGGCAAGGAAACGTCCGATGAAGTCATTGCTGTGTAGATCCTTGACAAAGAATTGGCAAGGAAACGTCCTGTGAAGTTATTTCTGCGTAGATCCCGGACACAGGATTGGCAAGGAAACATCCGGTGGAGTTATTGCTGCGTAGATCCCTGACACAGGAATGGCAACGAAACGCCCAGTGAAGTTATTGCTGCATAGATCCGTGACATAGGATTGGCGAGGAAACATCCGGTGAAGTTATTGCTGCATAGATCCCTGACACAGGAATGGCAAGGAAATGTCCGGTGAAGATATTGCTACATAGATCCCTAGCACGTGAATGGCAAGGAAACGTCCAGTGAAGTCATTGCCGCGTAGATCCATGGAACAGAATTGGGAAGGAAACGTCCTGTGAAGTTGTTGCTGCGTAGATCCATGACACAGAATTGGCAAGGAAACGTCCGGCGAAGCTATTGCTGCGTAGATCCCTGACACAGGAATGGCAAGGAAACGTCCTGCGAATTTATTGCTGTGTAGATCTCTGACACAGGATTGGCAAGGAAACGTCCGGTGAAGTTATTGCTGCGTAGATCCTTGACAAAGGATTAGCAAGGAAACGTCCGGTGAAGTTATTGCTGCGTAGATCCGTGTTAGGGGAATGGCAAGGAAATGTCCGGTGAAGTTATTACTACGTAGATCCCTGACACAGGAATGGCGAAGAAACGTCTAGTGAAGTTATTCTTGCATAGATCCCTAGCACAGGAATGGCAAGGAAACGTTTGGTGGAGTTATTGCTGCGTAGATCCCTGACACAGGATTGGCAAGGAAATGTCTGGTAAATTTATTGCTGCGTAGATCCTTGACACAGGAATGGCAAGGAAACGTTTGGTGAAGTTATTGCTGCGTAGATCCCTAACACAAGAATGGCAAGGATACGTCCGGTGAAATTTTTGCTGCATAGATCCCTAGCAGAGGAATGGCAAGGAAACGATCGGTGAAGCTATTGTTGCGTAGATCTTAGACACAGGATTGGCAAGGAAACATCCGGTAAAGTTATTGCTGCGTAGATCCCTGATACAGGATTGGCAAGGAAACGTCCAGTGAAGTTATTGCTGCATAGATCCCTGACATTGGATTATAAAAGGAAACGTCCAGTGAAGTTATTGCTGCATAGATCCGTGACACAGGATTGGCGAGGAAACGTCCGATGAAGTTATTGCTGCATAGATCCCTGACACAGGAATGGCAAGGAAATGTCCGGTGAAGATATTGCTACATAGATCCCTAGCACAGGATTGGCAAGGAAACGTCCGGTGAAGTCATTGCTGCGTAGATCCATGACACAAAAGTGGGAAGGAAACGTTTGGCGAAGCTGTTGCTGCGTAGATCCATGACATAGAATTGGCAAGGAAACGCCCGGTTAAGTTATTGCTGCGTAGATCCCTGATACAGGATTGGCAACAAAACGTCCAGTGAAGTTATTGCTGCATAGATCCCTGACATTGGATGACAAAAGGAAACGTCCGGTAAAGTTATGGCTGCGTAGATCCCTGACACAGGAATGGCAAGGAAACGTCCGGTGAAGTCATTGCTGTGTAGATCCTTGACTAAGAATTGCTAAGGAGACGTCCTGTGAAGTTACTTCTGCGTAGATCCCAGACACAGGATTGGCAAGGAAACGTCCGATGGAGTTATTGCTGCGTAGATCCCTGACACAGGAATGGCAAGGAAACGTCCGGTGAAGATATTGCTGCATAGATCCGTGACAAAAGATTGGCAAGGAAACGTCTGGTGAAGTTATTGCTGCATAGATCCCTGACACAGGAATGGCAAGGAAATGTCTGTCAGAATGAAGAAGTGATTGAACTATGAAAGATGAGAGTATAAGTATGAAACCCTAGAGTTGTATACCCCCTAAAGGCCAACCCACTATAGCCTACACATCAATAACATATAAGATAATGTTTGACACACCCCCATAGGCAAAGTGGGGGAGAGCAAGGGGTCACAAGACCAGTCAAGAAGGGCAAAGCAAGCTCAGGGTGGATCACAACGTCACCACACAGTCTGAGCACAAGCAAAGGGCCACAGGGCCAGTTCAAATGCAGAGGCATATATAGACAACACAAACAGCAAGGTGATCTCAACCTAACAAAACAAACAAGCAGGTATATATACATATATAGAGATCACAGTACAGACAAAGCCTACAGTAAGTGAGGAACAGTGGGCACAAGCCCCAGGACAGTACAGAAGCGCTGATGATCACCAGGTTGAAGTGCCTTGGTGAATATATCAGCAGTGTTGGCCCGAGTGGCCACGTAACGCAGACAAAGCTGACCACGCTGCTGCAGCTCTCGAGCCAGGAAGTAACGGAGAGTGATGTGCTTCGTTTTGTGCTCCAGTCTGTGCTCCTGACACAAGGCAATGGCAGCCTTGTTGTCGACGTACAGCACTGGAGGAGAACTAGGCCGCTCTCCCAGGTCAGTCAGAAGGTAGGTCAGCCAGCGTAACTCCTGTGCAGCCATGGCTGTGGCGTAGATCTCAGCCTCACAACTGGAGCTGAGAACTGAAGACGAGCGAGTAGAACGCCAAGAAACTGAACCAGAGCCAATACTGAAGGTGTAACCCTGTGACGACCGCTGAGTAGCCTGGTCGTCCACCCAAGAAGCGTCTGAGTGCCCAGTGAGAACAACTGAGCGCCTCCCTCCAAGCACGAGCCCCATGCCCGATGTACTGTACTCCCTCTTTGCAGCATCCCAGTGCACCTTTCGGTGCCTGCCAGGAGCCACGTAGCGGGCCAGAAGGCCAAGAGGGTATGCTAGGTCAGGACGAGTGCAAGTCATCAGGTACATGAGGCAACCAACTAGCTCTGGGTAAGGACCACTCGGCTCTAGGGACTCATCCGAAGGCAGAGCTGAGAGCGAGTGACCTATAGCCAGAGGAGTGGCCTGTGCTGAGGACCAGGTGAAGCCGAAGCGCTGAAGGACCTGCTGCACCATGTGTGACTGAGTCAGTGTGATGGTGTGGCGTGCTCTGTCCCGAGTGATCCGCAAGCCAAGATAGCTTGTCAGTTCACCCAGGTCTGTGCACGTGTGTCTCTTCTGCAGCTCCGACTTCACGTGGGCGAGAGCCTCAGTGTCAGCAGTGGCAAAGACCAAGTCGTCGACGTACACGAGGATGTAGAACGGCGGCAGTGAAGTGTCGGTGCGCAGGAACAGCGACGGGTCAGCAGTAGAAGACGAGAACCCAAGAGCCGCAAGTGTAGTCCTCAGTGTGTCGTGCCACTCACGTGGAGCCTGGCGGAGACCGTAGACCGGCCGCCGGTGGCTCCACTGGGTACCAGGAGGAAACGACCCAGTGAAGCCAGGTGAACGGCGCAGCCAGATCTCCTCGTGCAGACTGCCCTGCAAGAAAGCTGTGCTGAAGTCAAGAGAGTGAAGCTCGTAGTCACGCTGAGCGGCAACGTGCAGCAGCACCCGAAGAGTGGTCATCTTCGGGGTGGGGGAGAAGGTCTGAAAGAAGTCTACTCCCTCTCGCTGACTGAAGCCTCGAGCGACGTACCGAGCCTTGAAGACAGGTGGAGAACCTGGCGGCCGCTTCACCCTGAAAATCCACATGCCACTGACGATGTTCGCCCCAGGAGGGGGAACATCGTCGACGTAAGTGCCAGTGGACTTCCAGGATGCCATCTCTGCATCCATGGCTGACTGCCACTGAGAGGAGTACTCACCCGCGATCGCCTCAGCGTAAGAGCGCGGGGTCGGGATGTCTGGAGCATCCGGGTCTCCCTCAGGTGCAATCAGCATGGACACGAGATGAGGGAGCAGGACCCTGGGGAGGGAGGGGGTCTACCGGAGGGGCACCTGGGGTGAGGAAGAGAGGCGGGGGGGGGAGAGGAGCAGTGCGGTAGGGGAACAGACGGTAGAAGGGTACCGACTCGTCAAAGGTGACGTCCTGAGACGCAAAGACACGGCGCGAGGTGGGGTGGTAAAACCGCCAACCAGGTGCGTCGGGGACAAAGCCAAGGAAGACACAAGGCACAGCGCGGGCGGAGAGCTTGTCCGCAGTGGTATCACGGACAAAGGAACGAGCACCCCAGACACGGAAACGCGACGCATCGCCAACCTGCCCCGTCCACAGCAGTGTGGGCGAGGTCTCCGGAATGGAGACACGGTGCCAGAGGTTGAGCTGATGCGCAGCGTACTGGACCGCAAACGGCCACAGAAAATGGGGGGCAGCCGAATGGATCAAGGAGGTACGAGCGATGTCCATGACCAAGCCAATGCGGCGCTCAGCAACCCCATTCTGCTGAGGAGAGGCCGGAAGCGTGAAAGTCTGGCGAATGCCGTGCTCCGCACAGTAGGCTGCCAGGAGGTCAGAGGAGAACTCACCACCTCGGTCAGAGTGCAGACGCAGGACGGGAAAGTCCGACTGGAACCGGTCGCAGAGCTGGAGACGAGCAGCGCGGATCCAGGGGATCAAAACATCAGGGACCTCACCCTTGGTGCGCAAGGGGAAGACCGTGGTGTAGCGCGTGTAGTCGTCGACAACCAGCAGGAAGTACCGCTCGTGGCCCTGTCCACGGACGCGGGCTGGGCCCCACACGTCCAGGTGGAGAGTCTGCAGAGGAGCCTCTGTGGGAGGGAACGAGGAGGAGTGAGGAGCGGCGCGCTGCCGCCCCTCGACGCAGGGAAGACAGGGAGGAGCAGGCGAGGGTGGGAGGGGAGGGAGAACCCTGGGAAGACCAGAGACAAGGTACCGGGAGTGCATGCCACGAAGGCGCTGCACTGATGGGTGACCAAGACGGTGGTGCCAGAGAACGGTCTGGTGTGACAGGGAGCGACACGAGCAGGGGGCCGACAGCTGACCTGACGCAGACGCAGACACAGCTACCTGAGGGGACTCGGTGGTCAGTGTGTACAGGTCCGACCCCGGCTGCCGAGTGAAGGTAGCTAGGTGGCGACCTGTCCTAGCACACGTACAGTGGGTCACACGCTCATAGGCAGGGGTGAACTGGTGAACACCCCCATCCTGAAGAGCAGAGCCCGCCACCAAGTTCGTAGAGAACAAGGGGAGGTAAAGGCCCGACAGGGTGCCGGACGGGACCGCAGGACAAGGGAGGACAGTGGAGGAGGTCGCAATGACCGGGCCCCCAGAGGGGTCAGCGAGAGAGACAGCAACCGGCCGAGCTAGCTGCTCAAGGGCAGTGCGGTCACGGAAGAAGCAGCGGGAAGCACCCGAGTCGAGTGTGAAGGTGTGCAGTGCCTCAGTGGACGCAGTACCAACAAGCGCAGACGTACTAGCACCTGGGGGAGCAGACGCACTAGCACCAAGAGCAGCAGCCTCACCAGGACCTAGGGCAGCAGACCACTGGCACCAAGAGCAGCAGCCTCACCAGGACCTAGGGGAGCAGACGCACTAGTACCTGGAGGAGCTGTCTCACTGGTCCCAATGCCAGGGTCTGGCGGTACACTCAGGTAACAGTCACCCTCAACACTAATAGTCAATGCATACATGGCACCAAGGATAGCATCAAAGTCAAGAGCAAAGATATCAATGTTCTTCCTAAGCAGGTCAGCCCAGCGGGGCAGCTCAGTGGCGTCAGGAAACTGCTCACGCCAGGCATCGTCAAGACGAAAGAAGCAGCGCTGCTCCGTGTGGAACCTCCCACAGGTCTGGCCAGTGCGGCCACCTGTGCGGATGACGTACGGGCAGGTACCTCCCCCCCCAGACCCCCCACGCTGAGAGTACCACTCACGGAGTTGCTGGGACGAGGGAGTCTGCTGCTGCTGCCTCTGGCCGCCGCCGAACCCCCCGCGCTGCACCGCTCCACCACCGCCACCACTACCTCCACCTTCCCCACCGCCCCCACCACCCCCACCACCGCCACCGCCACCAACCCCTGTGCCGCCACTGCCCCCCCCACCACCCGCGCCACTCCCACCCCCGCCACCACCCCGGCCCACCCCACCCCCTCCACTGCCGCCGCCCCCTCGTCCACCTCCACCACCCCTGCCCCCCTTGCCCCTGCCGCCCTTGCGTCTCCCACTGGGAGCAGACGCGGCCCCGACTCCCTCAGCTCCGAGGTAGCCGACAGCAGCAGCAGATGCAATGGAGGGGAGGAGGGGGGAGGGGGAGCACCCCTCAAAGAAGGGGGTGCGGGGGTCGCCACGAGAGGCACCTACAGCTACAATGCTCTTCTCAGCTGCTAGGAGTTCCTTCTCGAGGAGGTCGACAGTGAGGTCAGTGGGGGAGAGGGCAAGGAACTGGTCCCTGACAGAGCGAAGGGAGTCAGGGAGGCGGGTGACAAGGTGGTACAGTGTGAGGTACATCGGGGGGGGGTTCTTGGCGAGGAAATCGGGGGGGAGAGCGGCACGGTAGCGGAGGTCACTGGTACGGAGATGAGTGATGAGGTCAGCTACAGTGGCAAACGCGGACAGGTCGGGGAAGAGATAGGGCAGTGAGAGACGGCCTATAGCAGCAGTGGCAGGAGAGGAGTAGCGTGCGACTACTGCGTCGTACAGCTCCTTAGCTGTCTTATGCTGGCCGAAGTGCTCACGCTCATCTAGCGGTAGGTGGCTGCGAACGGCTAGGCGAGCGTGAGCATCACGGGTCTGCCATTGGGAGCGGGCAGTGCTGTCAGCAGTAGCAGGAGGTGCAGGAGCAGCGCCGGATGTGTGATCATAGAGGGACACATCATCCTTGGCAGTGATCTGAAGGAACAGGTGGAGGTCATCTAGCCAGACCTCAAACTTAATCGGGCGGCCCTCAGCGTCAAAGGTGAGAACAGAGGGAGTGGCCATAATGGCAGTAGTAGCAGCAGGAACAGTAGCAGTAGTACAGTAGGAACAGGAACAGGAGGAACTGCCGTGGGGCACAGTAGGGTGGCGCGGCTCAGTCAGGGCGGCGCGGTTCGGTCCGGGCGGCGCGGCTCGGCTCGGGCGGCGCGGCTCGGTTTGGGCGGCGCGGCTCGGTTCGGGCGGCGCGGCTCGGTTCGGGCGGCGCGGCTCGGCTCGGGCTGGGCAACGCGACTGTGCGCAGCGAGGGGGGGGGCGCGCGCGTGGGCAGCAGTGGTGGGGGGGGCGTTTTCGTGCGTGGGCCTGTCTAGCGCGGGTGACGACCTAAAACGGGCCGGGGCGTCGCGGCGGCCTACGGGCGGCTGCGTCGTCCTGGGCAGGGGTCGACGGGCGGCTAGGGGGGCTGCTCACGGGCGGCGCAGGTCGCGTGGGCGGCTAGGGGTAGGCGCACGGGCGGCTAGGGGTCGGCGCACGGGCGGCTAGTGAGTCGCACGCTAAAAAAAAAAGGGCCGCGCGCGGCACTAGCGAGTTGCGCACGGGCAGCAGGAGGAAGAGAGGGGGGGGCGCACGAGGGCGCTCTAGGAGACGGGCGCTCGAGGGCGCTCTAGGAGAAGGGCGCTCGAGGGCGCTTCGTGTGGTGGGCCCTTAGGTAAGTGGTCCTAGGACTAGGACCTAAGCTCGTAATACCATGTCAGAATCCCAACCACTAGATCATTGGGATAAAAGGGCTTGTTAAGTAGCGGGTCAGTGCGCCCATAACCCCCCAGGACAACGAGCCTGTAACCCTTCCCTAGGATCAATCGGGGATCACCAGTGGACCTCTGACACCCCCCCGCACTGAGATGCCCGAAGTGCACACGAAGCCCTTTTATCCCAATGGTCTAGTGGTTGGGATTCTGACAATGTCCGGTGAAGATATTGCTACATAGATCCCTAGCACATGAATGGCAAGGAAACGTCCGGTGAAGTCATTGCTGCGTAGATCCATGACACAGAATTGGGAAGGAAACGTCTGGTGAAGTTGTTGCTGCGTAGATCCATGACACAGAATTGGCAAGGAAACGTACGTAAAGTTATTGCTGCGTAGATCCCTGACACTGGAATGGCAAGGAAACGTCCTGTGGAGTTATTGCTGTGTAGATCCTTGAGACAGGATTGGCAAGGAAACGTCCGGTGAAGTTATTGCTGCGTATATCCTTGACAAAGGATTAGCAAGGAACATCCGGTGAAGTTAATGCTGCGTAGATCCATGTTAGGGGAATGGCAAGGAAACGTCCGGTGAAGTTATTGCTGCGTAGATCCCTCTTTCAGGATTGGCAGGGAAACGTCCGATGAAGTTATTGCTACGTAGATCCCTGACATAGGATTGGCAAGGAAACGTCCGGTGAAGTTATTGCTGTGTAGATCCCTGACACAGGATTGGCAAGGAATCGTCCGGTGAAGTTATTACTGCGTAGATCCTTGACACAGGATTGGCAAGGAAATGTCTGGTGAAGTTATGGCTTAGTAGATCCCTGACACAGAATTGGCAAGGAAACGTCTGGTGAAGTGATTGCTGCGTAGATCCCTGACACAAGATTGGCAAGAAAAAGTCCGGTGAAGTTATTGCTGCGTAGATCCCTCACGCAGGATTGGCAAGGAAACGTTCGGTGAAGTTATAGCTGCGTAGATCCCTGACACTTGATTGGTAAGGAAACGTCCGTTGAAGTTATTACTGCGTAGATCCCTGACGCGGGATTGGGAAGGAAACGTTTAGTGAAGATATTGCTACGTAGATCCCTGACACGGGATTGGCAAGGAAACGTCCGGTGAAGTTATTGCTATGTAGATCCCTGACACAGGATTGGCAAGGAAACGTCCAGTGAAGTTATTGCTGCATAGATCCGTGACATTGGATTATAAAAGGAAATGTCCAGTGAAGTTATTGCTGCATAGATCCGTGACACAGGACTGGCGAGGAAATGTCCGATGAAGTTATTGCTGCATAGATCCCCGACACAGGAATAGCAAGGAAATGTCCGGTGAAGATATTGCTACATAGATCCCTAGCACAGGATTCGCAAGGAAACGTCCGGTGAAGTCATTGCTGCGTAGATCCATGACACAAAATTGGGAAGGAAACGTTTGGTGAAGTTGTTGCTGCGTAGATCCATGACACAGAATTGGCAATGAAACGCCCGGTGATGTTATTGCTGCATCGATCCTTGATACAGGATTGGCAACGAAATGTCTAGTGATGTTATTGCTGCATAGATCCCTGACATTGGATTACAAAAGGAAACGCCCGGTAAAGTTATTGCTGCGTAGATCCCTGACACAGGAATGGCAAGGAAACGTCCGGTGAAGTCATTGCTGTGTAGATCCTTGACTAAGAATTGGCAAGGAAACGTCCTGTGAAGTTATTTCTACGTAGATCCCAGACACAGGATTGGCAAGGAAACGTCCGGTGGAGTTATTGCTGCGTAGATTCCTGACACAGGAATGGCAAGGAAACGTCCGCTGAAGTTATTGCTGCATAGATCCGTGACACAAGATTGGCAAGGAAACGTTTGGTGAAGTTATTGCTGCATAGATCCCTGACACAGGAATGGCAAGGAAATGTCCGATGAAGATATTGCTACATAGATCCCTAGCACATGAATGGCAAGGAAACGTCCGGTGAAGTCATTGCTGCGTAGATCCATGACACAGAATTGGCAAGGAAACGTCCGGTAAAGTTATTGCTGCGTAGATCCCTGACACAGGATTGGCAAGGAAACGTCCAGTGGAGTTATTGCTGTGTAGATCCTTGACACAGGATTGGCAAAGAAACGTCCGGTGAAGTTATTGCTGCGTAGATCCTTAACAAAGGATTATTAAGGAAACGTCCGGTGAAGTTATTGCTGCGTAGATCCATAATGGGGGAATGGCAAGGAAACGTCCGGTGAAGTTATTGCTGCGTAGATCCCTCACGCAGGATTGGCAGGGAAACGTTCGATGAAGTTATTGCTACGTAGATCCCTGACACAGGATTGGCAAGGAAACGTCCGGTGAAGTTATTGCTGTGTAGATCCCTGACACAGGATTGGCAAGGAAACGTCCGGTGAAGTTATTACTGCGTAGATCCTTGACACAGGATTGGCAAGGAAATGTTTGGTGAAGTTATGGCTTAGTAGATCCCTGACACAGGATTGGGAAGAAACGTCTGGTGAAGTGATTGCTGCATAGATCCCTGACACAAGATTGGCAAGGAAACGTCCGTTGAAGTTATTGCTGCGTAGATCCCTCACGCAGGATTGGCAAGGAAACGTCCACTGAAGTTATTGCTGCGTAGATCCCTGACATAGGATTCGCAAGGAAACGTCCGTTGAAGTTATTGCTGCGTAGATCCCTGATGCGGGATTGGGAAGGAAACGTCCGGTGATGTGATTGCTGTGTAGATCCCTGACACAGGATTGGCAAGGAAACGTCCGGTGAAGTTATTGCTGCGTAGATCCCTAACACACGATTGGCAAGGAAACGTCCGATGAAGTTATTGCTGCGTAGATCCCTGACATAGGATTGGCAAGGAAACGTCC